TTAATTGCTTCCTACGTATAGTGCTCTCAGGGTTATATATTTATTAGTTTTTCAGAAATCTCCATTTTGCTACCAGTTTTGATAAATATATTAATAAAAAGCTTAATTTTTTCTGTCATGCTTGACTCAGTACATTTAATGGTAATGATCAGGATGGATTTTTGGTCATTAGTTTAGTATAATATACGAAACACTGGTGGTCTAAGGCCAAAACCTTAACGTCGTACTGAAAATATAGATCTTTAGTATTTCTGCTGAATACTAAGTAATATTGTCCTTTTTAACAGTTGGAATGTATTTATTCTTATAAATTCTGTTCTATTGCTTTGAAAATAGGATAAGTTTTGTTTAACTTTTTCTTTCCAATTTTCATTCATGCTTTTTTCCTTTCTTCCTTTTTTTAACTAGAAACTTTAGTTTACTTTCATTTGGAGAGGAAGCTGAGGAAGAAGAGGAGGAAGTAAATCGAGTTAGTCAGGTAATCTCCAATGTTTGTTCAGATTAATAAACGAGATTAGGGTCTATATCTTACTCATTTTTTTATCTCCTGCTATACCTGGCACAGCATATTTTACATGGTACACACTCAGTAAGTGCTCATTGAATTGATTTGTAAAATTATTTGTGGTCAGTAATATTCGTAACATCTGAGATGATTTTCCCTTTTAAAATTGTAGTATTTATTTATTTATTCTTAATCTTGGCATTTTTTATCAGTAGAACTGGACTCAAAGTTTTTCAAATAGTTCAACTTTATGATTCAGATTTTAATTGCTATTTGTTCAATTGGCTTGATAGAAGATAATGGTTATTATCATTATTACTATAAGCAGTCACAGACCAAAACTCTTACATTCATTTTAATGTTATTTATATATATTTTATTTCATTAATTTTCATCACAGCCCTTTGAAATAGATGTTATTATTATCCTCATTTTACTCATGAATAAATTGAGATATAGATAGGTTATAATTTGCTTGAAGTCACATAAGCAGTAAGTAGCTACAGCTGGGAATCAAACCCAGGTCTTTCTAACTATAAAACCAGTGTCCTTTAATTATACGTGCCTCCTGGCCTTTTACTCCACCAATCCTTCCCAGGCTTTTGAGTGTGGTTTTCTTTAATATCATTTGTATCATAATCCTCACCGCTGAAACATTTATAATGTCTTGCTATTGTTTAGAGTAGTGATTCTGGTATGTATACTCCAAGAACATCATCTTCAATGGTTTTTACTCTCAAAGTTCTGATATGCCTTACTTTCTTGAAAATTAGTGAATGCTGAGACCCAGAGGATTAGGTTCAAAGTCTTTGTCATAGTGATTAAAACTCTAACCTTGCACTCTTACTTGCTTAACATAGTCATCTATTTCTTACCTATACTAACAATAATGTTGACTTAAAAGCACATTATTATTACTCTTTACTTTATCCATGTGCTTCCCTTATTAGTGAGCATGGTTTTGGTAAGCAGTTTGGGCACATAGTAAGCACTCTACTTGTACCCCTTGCACTGAAACTGAATTAAAATTGGGAAGTGTAAGAACTAGTTTGGTCATAATTTTTTCTTGCCTTTTACAGTATCCTTGAGTGATCTATTTGATACCATGGATTCAATTACCACCAACCTGAATACCAACATTCTAAACTCTAGGAGATAAGGTTGAATATTTTCTCTGAGCTCTTATCCCTCATTCTGAGTTGCCTTAGGAAAGTCTCTACTTTAGATGTCAAAACCAAATTTATTTTTATATAAACACCTCCTTTCCCTATTCCTTATCAACATCACCAATCACCGTTACCTCAATATCTCAGGAGTCATCTTCTTTAGATGTCAATGAATTGTTCGTGATTCAAATTTGTGCCTCATCAAAATGAAAGATTTACTATATGTCATGATTCTGTGGGTATATTTGTGAATGTTAGATTCGGAAATTTCCACGATTACCTTTTGTTGATGTTTTCTAAGGATGTCAAATTTCTTTGCATACCCATGCCTTCCCCACAGTTCCTCCACTTCCATTTTTACATTTGCCTGGAGTATGCTCTCTCCTTTATTTGGCTACTTTTTGTTTTTCCTTTAAGATTTAGCTCTACTGTAACCTCCCTTCTGCACCAAACTCCCACCTATGCTGAGCTAGGTACTTCTTCCCATCATAATCTGTCTATGGCCATCAGAGCACTTGTCATGCTACTTTATAATGATTTATTTTCTCATCTGCTAACTGTGCTAAATATTTAGTTTAAGTTATCTCTATAACAACCATGTGATATAGACATTATTTCTATTTTGTAGATAAAAAAAAATCAATACTTGGAGAGGGTTAAATAGCTTGTCCAAGATCATGTAATTAGGAAGTGGTGGAATCAGAATTTTGACCTTAGGATTTTATAGCTATTTAAGTCTCTATTATGATTGTGAATGCTACAGAAGCTGTCTCCTGTAAGCCCAAGCCATCTGAAAGGCTGGTGAGATATTTCACTGGTCGCCTAGCATTCGGGCATAGAAGGTAGCTATCCTCAGTACAGTTGGCCCACTGCCCTTCTCTAACTCCCGTACTGTCCTGGAGGGTAGGTCAAGCAGCCTTGGAGAGCAAAAGCAGAAGAAAGGGATTTTTTCATCAGTCTTTCCCTGTTGAAATTAAATTTCTGGTCTAAAGTAAGTTTTGTTCATAATTACTTTGAAATTGGCTTCACTAGGAAATTAGTTTGAATTTTTTCTATTTCTAACAACAACATGTGTTAAATGTTCAAAGTTTCTTTTCCTTCTGCTTTGTGTTGTATAAAGTAGAAAAAATGAGATGTGTAAATTGTACTGAATATTGTGAATTTATATTACAAAAGCAATTTGTGTTTGCTTTAAGATTAAAATGTGCAAGAATACCACCACAGATAGTACTGGCTTGCTCTTTATTTTCTCCCTTAAACCTGAGAAACACTTTAAATAATTTGGAAAGACTAGGTAAAATCTTTTTTCTCTGCCAAGAAAATTACAACCCACACATAGTCCATTATGAAATGAGTATTATTATCCTAGTATTATGTCATATTTTTCTCATCTGACTTTTTGATGATGTGCTTTGGATGAAATTACCATGAAGTGCTTGTATCTGACTTTCACATCTATATCTCTAGGCTGGCTTATTCTTTTTTTCTTCAGCTGCCTACTGAACACCTCTCTATTTGAACATCTCACTAGTTATTCAAGCCCTGGCCAAGGCTTAACTCACTATCTTTATTCCCAGATTTCTCCCTGTTCTATGCCTTGTTGTCAATATCCTCCAAAGAAGAGCTCATTAGATTCAGTTCTGACTTTTTTCTTATTTTTTTCTCTGCACTGTCTTAGCAGTTTTTCATCCAAGATATATCTCAAATCCATTTTTTCCTTTTAATTAATTTGCTACTACCCTTGTTCAGGCCTTCATTATCTGTAGCCTGGACTGTATAGTAGTCTACAGACTGGTCTCCTGTCTCCTGTCTCTTCTTTTCCTTCTTTCCTTCCACTATCAGAGCAGCCTAACTAAAGCTTAAGATGTTAATACTGCTCTCTGTTGATTATATTAATAAGGCCAAATTCCTGGCCTATTATTTCAAGCCTCTACTTTCATGATTCCCCTTCACCAACTCTGCCCTTTAGCCTAGTACTTAGTAAACTTTGCTGCTGATAAAAATCATTTGTGGTACTTTTTAAAAATGAAGATTCTTAGGCCCTATCTCAGACCAAATGAATAGAATTTCCAAGGGAGTTGCCTGGGAAGCTGTACGTTTAATGAATTCCCTTGGAATTCATACTAGGGAGATATAGTAAACACTGCTTTAACAGACAGATATGAATGGTTTGAAGTTCTATATATATATGCTTATCTTTTTCCTATTTTTGTGCATTTATTCATGTTCTTTTCCCTACCTGAATGTCCTATCCTACCTCTGGATGGTATTTGCAACACCTAAAATATCATCTTTTCTAGATGTCTTTTCTAGTTTTTCTTGATCTTTTTCTTAGCTAACCTCTGCCTTTCTTGTAATACTTTATATTTTCCTTTTAAACACATCTTTTTTGCTTTATTACCAAAGAAGCATATGACTATGTTCTCATTGTATACTACACCAACATTATAACCTTTACTTTTCGACTTATTAATTGTATTGAGTCCTGGGCTGTGAGCTCCTTGCAGATAGAGTCTCTGTCATCTTTGAGCAGCAGCGTGTAGGAGTAGAAATAGCATGGATTTGGGATCATACAAACTCATATAGAGACTTTGCTTTCCACTGGCACTCTGTGACCTTGGATAACTTAGTCTCTCTGATCCTCAATTTTCCTTTTTGTAACATGGAAATAATATGTACCACTTAGTGTTATGAGATAAGGATATGGATAGTCCTTATTTTGATATATTATGCAATTTTGAAAGTCAAATGTTTTAAAATAGAACAATATATAAAATGTTATAATTGGTATTTTAATCTCAGAGAACTAAAGAATATCAAATAACTTTTAATATTATCATAATTATTATGTATAAGCTCATGCTTTCATGCCCAAGCAATTTAGAGGGCTGGTTAGAAACTTCACCAGCAGCTCTGTTTTCTTGGGTAGGGAGCCATAAGCTTGGCACAACTGGCCTAGTGCCCTTTCTGAGCACTCCATAGGGTCCTGGATAGTAGCTTGAGCAGCCTGGGAGAGCATGGGTGTGCACCACTACATTATGACCCACCAACAACCCATTCTCCACATATGAGTGGGTCTTGGCACACTGCAGAATCTCTGGCCTACAGACTGTAGCTCTTGTCTGCTTTATGTATTGGATTAGTGGGCAAGTTTAGTTTGAGAAAATAGAACAACAATTTGGAATTTACTGGCTTAGAGGAAAGGAAATTGCTTTAGACTACATGACATAAATTCTGGAGAGAATCCAAATAGAAGTGTATTTTTGTTTATTTTGGTTATATACAGTTTTTTACACTATGAATACCCCAAAATACCTTGGTAAGAAAAAAAAATGCTAACCTGAATATTGGAAAAGTATGGCTAATAGAATATGTTTCTTTAAAATTTAGCCTTATTATTTTAAAATGTATGAAATAACTACAGCCAAAGCCAAATAAGTGTCTTTTATAATGACTAAGAAGAATTTGCAGTTTCAGTGGTTGTATGAAATTAAATATTTCTGAAGGGCTTAAAAATAATTGGTTCATTATTCATTTGCTTATCAAGTTTCTTTTTTCAATGACTCCACAGTGTTAAGCTTTATTCCAGAACCTGTCTGACTGATCACAAGTTAATAATTGGTAAAGTCTGAATTGAGGCTTTGCTTTATGTGAAAGGAAAAACAAGATGGAGTCCCCTCTGGTTTATGGATTATCAGTGTGGGATTACAGACACTCCTTCACCCCACTCGTTTATTCATGACAAGGTGCCTCTCCCACAAGGGTTAGCTTTCCTTCATTATTTATTTCAGTATCTTTCTACTACCTGATAAAATCTCTTTAGAATCATAGAATTTTATAGCTCAAAGGGATCTAGTCCAACTTCCTTTCTTTATAGATGAGGAAACTGAGACTCTGGTTAAGTGACTTGCCAGACTGACTTCATTTCCTTTTTGATAGGATTGCATGATAGGGGTGCCATAATAATCATATCTTGAGTCCAGAAAAGCACATTGTCAGACTGTCTCATGATATTCTGTGGACAACATGAAGAAATGTGATCTGGGAGATAGTACAGTAAGATAGATTTATAGCTAATTGAATACTTCTGCCTAAAGGGTGCTTTGTTGTCAACCTGTGCCTGATTATTTGAACAAGTAAGTTGAAATGTAATAGGAGTACATGTAAATTCTGTTCTTTAGTGCAGTAAAATCAGCTGAATAGATATGACATAATAGTCTGTGAGCCCTAGTTGAATTAAGAGTGAGATCTCTGGAGTAAGGAATTTAACACTCTCTGCATTGTTTGGATCACATTTGCAGCAATTTGTTCAGTTCTGAACTCATTTTAAAAAGATATTGACAAAATGATATTGCATCCAAAGGAAGGAAGGGTGGTGAGGAGGATGGGTATGATGCCGAAAACTATCTCACATAGAGAATACCTGAGGAACTGGATATACTTTGGAGAAGTAAAACTAAGTGAAAATATGATCCTAGGCTTCAAATATTTGAGAAAAGCTTTTATCTGGAATAGCACTTCCTTTGTGTTGCTTTCTTAAACAATACTTTATTCAAATGTTTGTCTTGGTTTAAAATTTACTAGTGAATCCTTATATATAACTTATACAGATGTCAGAAAATATTTTTCAAGTAAAAGCTTACAATCAGACAAGTAGTTTTCATGAGGTAAGTTAAATGGCAGATCTGTTATAAAAGTATATCAATAGCTAGATTTTAATACAGTCACCAGATTAGTACAGTTCCACATTCACAGTGATACACACAGTATTTCTCTCACTACAAGACTTAATGTTAACATTTTATCTCAAACCCAAAGTTACAGAAGGGCTTTTGTCTTACCCAGAAAAAGTTATATTGGTAGACAAGTTTATCACTTTTGAGAATAGAGTAAGAATGTTTTGTCCTATTCTAGTTCATCCTATGAAGTTAAGCTTTCCCCAAAAGTTGGCAGGTTGGGTGGACATGACATGGAGCATGCTCCTCGGTCATTGGCACAGAGGTTGTCAGAAGTGTTAAAAAGTCTAATTTATAAAATATTTCTGCCCCATCAAATTGTATTCAACTTTAATTTCCTTATCTTTCTAGTTGTTTATATTTAGCTAATTTTTAAAAAATATTAACATATTTTATTAGTTTTATATTGCTGTTGTAACAAATTGTGGTAAATTTAGTGGCTTGAAGCAAAACAAATTTAGTGTCTTGCAGTACTGGAGATCAGAAGTCTGAAAATAGACTTCATTGGGCTAAGTATCAAGGTGTTGGCAGGGCTGCCTTTTTTTGGAGGCTCTGAGGAGAATCCCTTCCCCTGCCTTTTTCAACTTCTAGAGACTGTGTATTCCTTGGCATGTCCCCTTCCTCCATCTTCAAAGCCAACAATGACTGGTAAAGTCTTTCTCTCGCTGCATCACTATGAAACTGACTTTCTTGCCTCCCTGTTTCACTTATAAATACTCTTGTGATTACATTGGAACCATCTTGATAATCCAGGATAATCCCCCCATCTCAAAATCCTTAATTTATAGGAATGTTCCCTTTTGCCACATAAGGTAACATATTCATAGGTTCTGGATATTAGGACATGGACACCTTAGGGAGCCATCATTCTGCTTACCAGTCTGTCTGAACTAACTGTGTGGAGTATGCCTAAGAACAGGACATGTCTGTAGTTCATTTGTAGTTCTAGAAGATAGAACTAGGGTTGGCTGGGTGATTGGAAATTACGCATAGATATTTTTTCTCTAGTCTGAGAATTTTCTAGTAATGGAAGCCATGTGAAAAGAAATGGGTTTTGTGTGTGTGTGTGTGAGAGAGAAAGAGAGAGAGAGAGACAGAGAGAGAGAGAGAAAATAAATAAGCTCTCCTTTTAGGTGTTGAGACATGATTGACCAGTCAGGTCAAGGAGATTCCTGCATTGGGTGGGAGAATAGATTAAGTAGCCTCTAAAATCCCTTTTTTAACTATTAAGTTTTTCTGGTCCTGTGCTGAAGGTCTCAGAATATATTATTCAGTGTTCTCCAGAGAAACAGCACCAATAGGCCAATAGGATATGAGAGAAAGAGAGAAACACATTTATTTATACCAGTCCCTCTCTCTCTTTGTTTATAGGAATTGGCCTATGCAATTATGGGAGCTGGCAAGTCCAAAGTATGCAGAGTAGGCCAGCCGGGTGGAGAACCAGGGAATAGTTGATGAGTCTGAAACCTACAGGCTGGAAACTCAGACAGGGTTTCTATGTTGCAATCTTGAGGCAGAATTACTTCTTCTGGAAATCGAAGTTTTTGTTCTTAAGGCCTTCAAATGATTAGATGAGGCCTACCCACATTATGGAGCGTAATCTGGATTATCAAAGCCTACTGATTTAAATACTAATCACATCTAAAAAATTCTTCCATAGCAACATCTAGACTGGTGTTTGACTAAACAGCTGGGTACCATAGCCTAGCCAAGCTGACTCATAAAGTTAACTATCCACACAGGTGTTAGAGATTGAGCCCTAAACCTTCCAGCTTCTTGACCAGTATTCCTCTGTACCCCTGCACCTCTTTCTTTTCTCTCTCTCTCTCTCTCTTCTCCTCTCTCTCTTTCTCTTTCTTTCTCTCTCACTCTCACTCTTTCTTTCCTACCTGTATAGTTTTGCTGCCTCTTTGTTCTTGGGTATGAAATCCCAGATAATAATATAATTTTTCTACATCCCCTTCGATGTTCATTCTTAGATTCATTTGCAGACAGTTTTGAATTTTATCTGGAGCTCCTTACACTGAATTCACTAAATATATTTAGTATTTTGTTCAGCAGCTAAACCCTTTAACTAGCCAGCTTCTTTTATGCAACTTTTAAAACATTTTAAAATATATTTGATGTTTGTTCTTCCTTTAAAGTCATTGTTACCTAATGGTATAAGTAAGAACTTTAAAATATATCATTCAAAAAGAACAGGCATT